GGACGACGAGACGGCGAAACGGAACGGCATCTTGAGCCTCGCTTGCTGCCTGAGGATGTCGAGGACTGTGCTGGTTCTCTGGGACAAAACGTACTTCCGTTGACTCTGGTGTGTCGTTGAGTTTGCGGCGTGCTTGAGTCTGCAGTCGGATCGGGAGCAGGCTTCGAAAAACGCGCTGCATGTGCTGCCCTCCATTTGCGGAGGCATGCTCGCTATTTTGCTTGTCGGCCAGACGATCTTCAATTTTGCCATACGTTGGTTCCTGATGGGCGGTGACGATCTCCCGTCGATGTTCGAGTGACGATCTGGAGGGTCCAGATGAAAAGGTCCAATTTCGGAAATCCGAGTTCGAAATTCGAAATTCGGAATTCCAGGTTACGGATTTCGGATTGGACATCATCCCTCTCCTCCCTCTCCTCGTCCCCTCTTCCTCCTCCTAACCCCTCTCCTCCCCAGCGCCGGCTCTCAGCGTCATTCTGGATTCCAGATGCGGATTCCAAATGCTGGATTCCAGACTCCGAATTTGCAGCATTCCAGATTCCAGATTCCGGATTGGAGTTTCTTCCTCATTTCTCCCATCCCCAGCGCCAGCTCAGTATCATTCCGGATTCCAGATTCCAGATTCGGCTGGCTGGCAGGCTCAGCTCCATCCCACCCAGGGGTTCCTTTCGGAGCTCACAAGAATGCTTCAGCAGAACTCATCCGGCGTACCAGATTGCTGAATGAGCTCGAGCCCATCCGGCTCCAACGGAAACTTAGAGCCTATCCTGCGGACTGTCGGAGCTCGTCTGGCTGCGAGCTGAGCTAATTCGGCTGCGAATTGGGCCCATCCGGCGCCCTGCCCATTCGGCTAAACCTTGCTCGGACGGTCCACGCCGAACGAGTTCAATCGACAGCGCGCCTGCACGAGACGCACAGAATTCGATGTGAAACGTTGAGCTCATTCGGCGCGGGCGAGCTGCATGTCAGCAGTTTCAGAAACGCATTCACCGCACTCACTTCTGTATCCCTGGGTGGGTGTATGTGCGGCCGTTTTTGCGCGTGCATGTGCGCAGCATGTGCCAGGCATGTGCCCAGCATGTGCGGGCGCTTTGGGATGAATGTCCTACTGTGCGCACGTGCCCGTGCATGTGCGGGGTCATGTGCATTGGGTTTTGCTGCATGCATTGTAACGCACATGCCCGCGCATGCCGACGCACATGCCCGCGCATGCCGACGCACATGCCCGCACATGCCCGCACATGCTGAACTTGTGCGAACGTCGCAGATCGGTCAATGGCACATACACGCACATGCGCTGAATCCCGCGCCCGCACATGCTCGCACATGCCGATGTATATGCACGCACATGCCCGCACATGCGGAACATGTGCGGAACTCGCAGATCGGTTAGTGGCACATTCACGCACTCGGCTGTGTCCCCCCCTGCGGACGACAGCGCGGGCCCGCACATGCACGCATATGCGCTGAATCCCGCGCTCGCACATGCTCGCACATGCCGATGCACATGCACGCACATGCGTTCTCGGAGTTTTCAGGGCTCCCTATTACAAGGGCCTTCAGCGCTTCGTGACCTTCGGGGCTTCGGGGCGGGTCCCAAAATTTCCCGCGGCAATCAGGCTCTGGCCTCGGAGATGCCGTGCCCTATTGTGGTGAGGCCACTTTGGCTTGAGTCATTCTCGCAACGCTGACCTCGGAGATGCCGTGTCACATGGTGGTCTTGCTATTTTCGCGTGAAGCATCCTCGCAATTCTGGGTTCGAGATGCAACTCTGGCTTCAGAGATGCCCTGAGCTCAGTTGGTCCATCTACCTTCGCCTGAGACATCCTCGCAGCTCTGGATTACAAGGTGCCCTGACCTGTGGTGGTCAGCCCACGCTGGCAGTGTGGTCTGAACTCTGGTTTACGAGATGCCTGAGCAGATGGTCAGGTCACTTTCGCCAGAGACATCCTTGCAATTCCAACCTCAGAGATGCCCTGCGTTGAGGTTGTCAGGCAACCGTCGCCTGCGACATCCTCGCAACTCAGTGTTCAGAGATGCCCTGTTGTTCATCCGCTTTCGCCTGAGACATCTTCGCAGCTCTGGTTTCTGAGATGCCCTGCGCAGGTGGTCAGGCCACCCTATGGTTGGGTGGGCAGGACTCTGAGATGCACTGAGCTCAGGTGCTCCATCCACTTTCGCCTGCGGCATTCCCGCAAGACCTCGGAGTTGCCCTGATCCATGATGGTCTGGGATTTCTTGAACTCAGGTGGTCAGGTCATTTTCACCTTAAACATCCTCGCAACTCTGTGTGACCAGAGATGCCCTGCCACATGGTGTTCTGGCCAATTTCGCTTGCGACATCCTCGCAGCCCTGGTTTCCGATATGCCCTGCGCTGAGGTGGTCAGGCCTTTTTCGCCAGAGACATCCTCGCAACTCTGGGCTCCGAGAAGCCCATGTCGCCTGCGACATCCCCGCAACTCTGACCTCGGAGATGCCCTGCCCCATGATGGTCCAGCCACTTTCGCCTGCGACATCCTCACAACGGTTCCGAGATGCCCTGAGGATGTGGGCAGGCCTTTTTCGCCAGAGACGTCCTCACAATTCTGGCATCGGATATGCTCTGAGCTGGGGTGGTCAGGCCACTGTCGCCTGAGACATCCCCACAACTCGGACCTTGGTGATGCCCTTGCCCATGATGGTCTGGCCACCTTCGCCCGACACATCCTCGCACCTCTGGGTTCCGAGATGCCTGCGCTGATGTGGTCAGGCCACTGTCGCCTGAGACAACTCCGCAACTCTGGCCTCGGAAAGGCCCTGAGCTCAGGTGGTCCATCCACTTTCGCCTGCGGCATCCCCGCAACTCTGACCTCGGAGATGCCCTGCCCTATGGTGGTCCAGCCACTTTCGCCTGAGACATCCTCACAACTCTGGGTTCCGAGATGCCTTGCGCGCATGTGGTCAGGCCCTTTTCGCCTGAGGCATCCTCGCGTGATCTACATTACCCGAGCGCTGACCCCATCCTTTTGTTGGATTGGTGTGATATCATGCCACATCCCTTATGCGGGTATGGTGTTTCAGTTCGAGTGCCAGCCGCATTAGCTTCCTTCGTTCCCCTCGCTTCTCTCCTCATTTCTCTTTCCTGCTCATTTGTCCCTCCCTCCTCCTCCGATTTTTCGACTCTGCGGCATGTGCGCGCATGTGCGTTTTACTTTTTCAGAATTTTGCCAGACTGCATCCGACTCTGCATCGGACTGTGCGGCATGTGCGCGCATGTGCGGCAGTGCTGTTGAGGGTTTTGTGGAGTTGCATGGGCATGTGCATTCGACTGTGCGGTATGTGCCTGCATGTGCGGCCCCTGCTGGGCTTCAATTTAAATGTGAGCACTATAGAAGTGAGCGCTGTAGAAATGATTCCAGTCATGAGATGGGTTCCCCTGTGCTTCTGTAGTGGTGGTGGCAGTGCTCGGAGTACTTGCTGTAGTGGCACACCGCAGTACGAAACCCGCAGGCCATCTGAGTCACGCTCTTCCGCTGGATTGATTGTTGTTCCAGGAAAGTCGAAGTTGTAATATTGTCAAAGCCAGGTTGCGCACAGGATGTGATCTACGAAATGGTATCCTGGATTGTCGCCGCGATGGTCGCCCCAATGGTCGCCCAGAACGAAATGGTCGCCCGAATGGTCGCCAGAATGGTCCATCAAGAACATCAGATCTCCAAAATGGTATCCAAAATGGTCGAGCACTGCTGCTTGCAAAAGACACAAGACGCCAAGACGGTGTGCGATGTTCGTTGGGATGGTAGTGCGTTGGTCAGAGCCTTGGTATAAGATGCGAGACATGGAACTACACAGCGTTCGGAACCGCGTCGAAACCATTTCGTCGCAGGTACTTTCAATTTATGAACACTCTCGCGCCCTCTCCACGTCGATGTCGACCTAGCGCGACGTACAACGACGCTTGCGCGCACCAGTTTATGATAGGGAGGTTGAGCTTCGCCGCGCGGTTTAGGGCAATCACCTTTCAAGCGCATGGCGTGACATTCGTTGGATATTGGCTTCGCCTGAGACGAACGATGATATAGGACAGCGTCAGGTTTAGATGTGGACTTTCCAGTGGGCTTTACGCGAGCGACAATCTGGGCGACCATCCATCAAACGGGTTCTAGAACACCACCTGGCCTAGGACAAATTACCTTCACAAACGCTCCGTGGCAACAGGTCTTATCAAACACGCGGTTGCAACATACCGTGCCGTAGACTTCAACTGGTTGGGTTTCGCGAAGGGAAGACCCATCGCAAGCCGCGGTCACAATATGCGTTGTGCCTGGGACATTTTCGCCCAAAATTGCGCAGCGACTGATTGCCCGTTGTGCGCCGGGTGTGTGTTTTTTGTGGCGTCTACTCTGTAAGAACGGTTTTTTTGAAGGCAGATCTGCCTTCAAAAAATGTTCTACTCTGTAAGAACGGTTCTTTTGAAGGCAGATCTGCTTTCAAAAGAACGGTTTTTTTGAAGGCAGATCTGCCTTCAAAAAAACCGTTCTCACAGAGGGGCGCCGCCTCGGGGTCTGGGTACTCGACGTCCTGCGTCGGACAGAACGCCTCGATGCCACCCTGCCCTGTGCATGGGGCTTACCTCCCGCGCGCGCGGCGCGGCATGCGGCGCAAGGATCGCACTCTCGCCTCGCTGGGCGCAACCGACCAAACGACCCCATCAGCAACCGGCGTGTGAACGCAGTGCTGTGTAATCGCGCTCTCGTCTTGGCGCCGTGGCCACAACGGAACATATACGCGTGTTCGGGATAAGCGACATGTCTCATGCGTTCCTCATCTTCCCCGTCCTACTTTCCCGTCTCATCTTCATTTGTACGCATGCATTATTCTCTCTCTCTCTCTCTCCTCGTCCGTGCCTCCTCTTCCTCCCTCCCCCGCGGGATCGTTCCCTTCCATCCACGCGCCTCTCGTTCTCAGTTACCCTCCCCATCCGCGTCATAATCCCAAACCTCGCCCTCCTCCTCCTCATGCTCTGACCCCCTTCGAATCGCACCGTGCTCTCGAACTCGCGTCCTCTGCAAGCCTCTCACCTTCATCTCCCTCCCCTTCCTCATCCCGTCCCCCCTCCTCCGCCTCGCTTTCCTCTCCTCGACGTCGTCCTGGGTAAGCGGTTTAATCAGCGTGCTGTTTTCGATTGGACGTTGAAGTGACATTTGTTGCTGACTAGTTGCACGGGTTCGATGGCGTGGAAACGCCAGGGAGGGGGGGCGGGGGATGACGGGGTGAATGAGGGGTAGCCTTAAGAGCCGGAGGAGGAGGAGGAATTGAGGAGGAGGAGCAGGAGCAGGAGCAGGAGCAGGAGGAGGAGGAGGAGGAGGAGGAGGAGAGGAGGAGGAGGAGGAGGAGGAGGAGGAGGAGAGAGCCACCCTCAAGGCAATAACCCTGGGAAGCAATCATCGACCTCCCTCCCTTCTCGGTGAAGCTATGTGCTGCTCTGCGCCCCCGGGGGTGATGCCGGGGACGCTGCCCAGCTCCCTGCCGAGCAGACAGGGTGCGGGGGGTGGGACGAGGTGGGCTTACAGTCGAGTTTGATTAGCAGGTCGACCCTGCCCAAACAAGGTACCTTCGTGTCCCGTGTTTCGCGACCCATGCCCACTACATTCCACTGGAAATGTGGCCATCGGAAGAGTCTTGTGTCCTCTCGCGTGTCCTCTCCAATCCACCCCGACTGTAGGCAGGCATGCCCAGGACGAGGACACACCGCTCCAGAGCGTTCCAGCACGCCCTCGGCGTGCTCCCAGGAGCGCCCTGGGCGCCCCCGCGCCCGAGCCGTCCTCCGAGCCCGCCTTCGCTCTCAGAGCTTCCCGACTCTCCTCCTCGTCCCAGCCTGTGCCGATCTTTCTTGCCTCCGGCTCAGTGGGAGGTGGGAGTGGGGAGGCAGGGGGGGAGGGGAGGGGGAGGAGAGGGGTGGGGGGGGGGAGAGGAGGATGATGACAAGCTAGGTGCGCTCGCGTCATATCTGACGTCCTACCCCTCCCTCCCATCCCTTACCATGGCGCTGATTTTCTCTATCCGCGGACGCGTGTCGTAGCGGACCTGTGGCTCCGCGCGCGCGTGCGCAGTGGGTGGTGGTGCACGTGCGTGCGTGCGTGCGTGTGTGCGCGGTTGTCGTGGTGGTGGTGGTTGTGGTAGTGGTGGTGGTGGTGGTGGTGGTGATGGTGGTGGTGGTGGTGCTGGTGGTGGTGGTGGTGGTGCTGGTGGTGGTGGTGTTGGTACTGGTGCTGGTGCTGGTGGTGGTGGTGGTGGTGGTGGTGGTGGTAGTGGTGGTGGTAGTGGTGGCGGTGCGGCGCGGTGGTGGCGGGCGGATGGGCGCGCGAGAAAGAGGCCCGCGCTGGGGCGAGAACGCCATCCTGAACGACGGAGGCCAAACACCGATCCGAAAATGAGGCCCACGCTGCAGCGGGAGCACGATTCGGAACGATTCGGGAGCAGAAATGAGGCCGGCGCCTCAACGAGAGCAGCATTTTGGGAAAAAATGACGCCGGCGCCTCAGCGAGAGTCGTTTCCCGGGATTTCCCGGGAATCCTGTGTGTAAAAAAACAGTACGCGGAGGGTGCGCGGCCATCACCCGGACGCCATCAGGGGAAGAGGGAGAGTATTTTCAGATTGAGTAATTGTGGAGGAGGAGGAGAAGGACGAGGAGGAGGAGGAGGAGACGAGGACGAGGAGAGAGGAGGAGGAGGAGGAGGAGGAGGAGGAGGAGGAGGAGGAGGTGGACCCCCCGCCCCCCCCCGCCAGTTGTACGGGTCCTCCAGCAGCTCCGCCTGGCCCTCTGGCCCTCGCGGCAGGCTGCCGGGCTCGCCCGCGCTGTGTCGGGCGCGCTCCGCGGGAGCCCCCTTCCGCGAGCGCGCAGGGGGGCTCCGCTCCAGGCCTTCCCTGCTCCTGCTCGCCTTGTCTGGGGCGTCCAAGAGCTCGATATCGCCCGGACGTGTGTATCTTCTCCGGCAAGGACCATCGAGGAGCATGTAGGGCCATCTCGCGGCACGAAGCCGAGAAATGCACAGGGAATGAACGCCCGAGCGATGGCGAGAGAGGAGGTCAGGTTGAGGATAAGGAGTGTGTGCGTGGATCTGATTGCCGAGGCCATGATATCCCCCAGATCTCAGATTTCATCACTCCTCGTTGCTCCTCTTCCGACGCGTACCCGGGCCCACCCTTTGTCTGCGCACATGCCTCAGGCCGTAATGCGCGCTGTCCTCGCCTCGGGCAATGGACCAGAATGTGGTCCAGCCTCGGGGGCAGCATCGCTGGCGTTTTGGGTCCCAGCTCGGGTCTCGTCTCTGAGCATCTTGCTTTCTTAGATAGGGGAACAAAAAGTGACATAAACATAAAAACCTCGGAGGTCCGCGCAGATTTCTCGGATCGGCGCTGGACCCCCCCTCCCTGGCGCGCGGAGCGCGCCAGGGGCGGCGTCGGAGGCGCCGCCTGGGGGCCCCAGCGCCGATCCGAGAAATCCGCGCGGACCTCGGAGTTTTTATGTTAATGTCACTTTTTGTTCCCCTCTTAGAGTGGCCGAGCGAGGCCCCGAGGGAGCGCGTCTTCCTGCCCCCCCCCCTTCGGCGCACCCCGACGTTCGCCTGTGCCCCCCGGCCTCGAGCCCTCGGGTGTCCGCGCAGAGCGGCGAGGCCAAGGCTGAAGTCGGGCCTGTCCCTCTACAGGGGGAATACTCAGAAACGGTCAAAACATAGTCTGGAGACTATTGGTTGACCATTGTTGGGCATTTGTTAGGCATTTGTTGGGCAGTTCTAGGGTTTTTCGTCAAAAATCCCCCTGTAGGGGGACACGCCCGACTTAGGCCAAGGCTTGGGTTCGAGGGCTCCAGCCGTGACTTTTTTGGTGCGCTTGAGGGCGCCGTGTCCAAGCAGAGGGCGTTTCCAGGGGCCTCGCGCTTCGCGGGAGGGCGGCTAGGCGTCGTGCAGCCTGCTCGCCATCAACACCTACTACCTGCCACAGGTCAGAGATCCATGTCCTCCAGCAAGCTCCAGGCATCACCCGAGCTTCCAGGCCGCCCAGGGGAAACAGTAGATGGGATCGCCGGCACATCGACGATGCGGCGCGACCTCGAGCCTGGCTTCCTCCATCCCGACGTCGCCGTCATCTCCGGCGCAACGGCAATGCGGTGCCATCTTCAGAGCCCGTCTATTCCAAACAAGGCCAAGAAACCCAAATAATCCAGACCGCTGATCCCGAGGAGCCAAGATCAGGGAACCAACCAATTGACTAATATTCATGCATCTGAGGATGGCAGCAATGCAATGAGCCAAGATCGAGGAACCAGGTAAGCAATACCAAGAAGCCCAGGCAAAGCGTGGTCAACAGACAGGACGAATGACCCTGGGGAACGCAGCGACGACCGCGCCCCGTAATCACAGGTTCTTCACAAGCAGGTAGGAACCCTCAAGGCAGAGCCTCACTGAGGAACGACAGCCCCCTGCTGGGGTGGCATGGTGGCATGGACGCGATGGGCCCTGAGGGAAGCGGGCCATGGACCCCCGGGCTTTCCCCACGGCCCAGTACTTGCTCTGAGAAGCTTCTTGACGATCCCGGGGCCCGCCGGTGGGCCGAGGGTCCGGCGCTGCCTCGTCGACTGCTGCGCTCTTCTCTCTGTGTGGCCGGCCCTGGCCTGGCCTTGTAAGCCCGCCCTCCTGCGCTCGCGCGCGCCGCTCCACACTCGCCGACCGCGACGGCCTGCAGGCCTCGGGGTTGGGTTGGTGGGGGGCGGGATGGTGGGGCTGTCAGCGACGAGGGGAACTGGCAATGATCAGTATCATTGAACCGATCCCCATCCCCATCCCCATCCCCATCCCCATCCCCATCCCCGTCCCCATCCCCGTCCCCATCCCTTTCGAGACCCCCACCAAGTTACCCCCCAGTTGGGGGTACACCCCTCGAAACCCGAAGGGGATGGCCTGTGTCCCCATCCAGGGGGGTAAATCGGCCACTGAGGCCCAGGCCACCCCGCCGGGGATGGGGATCGGTTAGACGATGCTCAAATGAGGGAACTGGATCCTGAGTTGTTTCGCTGCTTCTGGGCTCTCGTTACCGTCCCTGGGCCCCAACCTTTCAAACAGCGACAAGAACGGATCCTGGGGAAGGCCCCAGGCTCCAGGGCCCGTTTCCTTCAGACCCCCTTCTCTGGAGGTCGGAGAGGGGTGGTGGTGCGAAGGGGTGTGGTGCCACTGCTGAATATTGCGATGTTATCGATCGTAGATAGCGGTTTTCACGATTAACACCACCCCCTTTATGCCACACCCGTTTCCGACTTCCACGGTTCATGGCAACGGGTAGCTCGGCAGCGCGCCGGACATGCTGCGGGACAGGGGACGGAAAGCGGCGCTTCCGCGCGGGACATTGCGGGAGAGTAACAGGAAGGGCTAGTGTTCAAGACTCGGGGGCGTCGATGAAGGGGGGGGAGGACCAGGGGAAGTGGATCTCATGGCTTGGGCCATGAAACATTCCCGATGTCATTGCCCCTCTTCTTTCAATGCTCCCCTTGGCCACCCCTCGCCCGAGCACGTGCCCGGGGCCCTGGCGCGCCCCCCCTCTGGCACCCCCGAGAGACGCGTCGCCGTTGCAGTCGCGGCCCACAGCCAGGATCTGGCGGGATTTCCCAAGGGGGGCCCACTGCGTCCCTCGGCTCTTCGGCCTGTCCTTGTCCGATCTCGCTGGCCGACCCTCCCGGGCCCCTCCCTGAAGCGCACGGCGGTTTGGACGCCCGAGGGCATCGCGTTCCTTCCCCCCTTCCCGCCCCCCGGGAAGCTTCCGCCAAGGAATGCGAAGCGATGTGTTTGAAGCGATGCTTGAAAGTGCGGCCGAGGTCGGATTCGCATCAAGGGCCAATACCCCAGTTCCCAGCCTTCGGGAATGGGGCTACCAAAGGCACGGTACTGGCTGAACCGCCTCTTCCTCGAGTCCCTCTCCCCAGGCGTGCGGCAAGGGAGTCGGAGGACCATCCTTCTCCAGTTCCTGCTCCTGCTTCCGCTCGTCCTCCCCCTCCTGCTCATCCTCGTCTTCGCCGTCTTGTTCTCCTCGTGGTCTCCCCCTGTCCTTTCTCGTCGTCCTTGTCTATCATCGTCGGGACCTCTGGCCCGCCCATCTCACCGTCTTCTTCCTGTTCGGCTTCCTTCATCCCCACCCTTCGCATTCTCCTTCATCATTGTCCTCGTCCCCACCCTTGCCCTCATCATCACCACTATCACTCCCACCACCATCATCCCACTCAGTAGTGACGAGGACAACGAGGGATGCCGATGAGGATGCGGGTCAGGATTCGGACGGTATCGCTATCCTCATCCTCTTCTCCGCCACGTCCCTGGGCCTCGTTCTGGTCGTGATGGCTCGGCTCGGGTCCGTCTTCGTCGCGTTCGGGTCGCCCGGCTCTCATTCGTCGTTCTCGTGGGCTTCGTAGTTTTGTTGCGGGGGCCTGCCTCCTCGGAGACAGGCCGAGACCTGCCCCATGTTCCGCCACATGCATCTCCTCCTCCTCCTCTTCCTCCTCCTCCTCCTCCTCCTCCTCCTCCTCCCACTCCTCCTCCTCCTCCTCCTCCTCCTCCTCCTCCTCCTGATCCCACTCCTCCTCCTCCGCCTCCGCCGCATGCTTCCCCTGCCCCGAGGACACATCTCCACCATGGACAGCCCCACGCCGCAGAGGCGGTGGGCCCACCCGGCCGAGGCGCCCCCCGTGCCTTGGGCCACCTTTTGCCCTCGGTGAACTCCCCCGCCAGGGAGGGTGCCGATCCACGCGGGGGGGAGGAGGGTGATGATGCTGATGATGCTGATGCTGGTGCTGGTGCTGGTGCTGGTGCTGGGTCTGGTGCTGATGATGATGCTGATGATGCTGATGCTGATGCTGATGCTGACGTTTGTGTTTATGTTGGTGATGATGAGGAGGAGGAAAGGGAGCAGGAGGACAGGATGAGGAGGAGACTGGGAGGAGAAGCAGCAACAGGATGAGTAGAGATGAGGGTGATGATGATGTTTTAATGATGATGATGATGATGATGATGATGATGATGATGATGATGATGATGATGATGATGATGATGATGATGATGATGATGATGATGATGATGATGATGATGATGGTGGTGGTGGTGGTGGTGACGACGACGATGATGATTATGACGAGGAGGATGACGATGACGACGATGATGATGGTGATGGTGATGGTGATGATGATGGTGGTGATACTGATGGTGATGATGCTGACGACGATGATGCTGATGATGCTGTTGATGATGGTGACTGTGGTGGCGATGATGATGCTGCTGTTGCTGCTGCTCATGATTGTGATGATGACGATGACGTTGACGGTGATGGTGATGATGATGGTGATGCTGATGCTGATGATTATTACGACGATTTTGATCATCACGATGTTGCTGATGATGATGATGATGTTGATGATTCTGATGCCGACGACGAGAACGATCGCGGTGATGATGCTGACGATGAGGATTACGGTGGTGGTGATGATGGTGGTGGTTGTGTTCGTGGTGAATACGATCTCCACGACGACGCTGCTGATGATGGTGGTGGTGATGATGATGGTGATGATGATGATGCGGATGCTGATGCCGCTGATGATGTGCTGATGATTGTGGTGTCGAATATTATGTTGCTGATGATGTTGACGAATACGACGATGCTGATGATGATAATGCTGATGATGAGGGTGCTGATGATGATGTTGCTTATGCTGCTGATGGTGAAGGGGATGATGATGCTGATGCGGATGCTTATGGTGCTGTTCATGGTGTTGGTAAGGCTGTTGTGTATGCTGATGGCGTGTATGATGATGGTGATTATTCTGATGCAGACGATGTTGCTGCTGCTGATGCTGCTGCTGATGATCTGAATGACCATGATGATCATGATGCTGCTGATGCTGTTGAGGATAATTACGATGAGGATGTTGAATATGCTGGTGATGATAATGAGGAGGGGGGTCAGGTAGATGATGGTGATGATGCTGCTGATGATCATGACGCGCAAGAGGACCAGGATTATTGTGTGAGGATGAGACTGTGCGTTCTGACATAGGGGGCGTTGTATACTGGACGAGCGGGATGAGGTGGCGGATGAGCACGAGGCTGAGCAGGACGACTAGCAGGAACATGAGGAAGGAGGGGGTTGACCAGCAGCTGGAGCAGGGTGTAGGAGGAGCAGGGGGGTCTGGGGAAAGCGGGGGAGTGAACAACAAGGGGAACGGCAATGACGAGGAACGAATCGGATCCAGAAATGTGGTCCGCGCAGGGGCGAGAGTGCACATCTAAGCAACGGCAGCGAAACACCGATTCCGAACTTCGGCTAACGCTGCAGCGGGAACATTGTCTTGCTCATTGGAAATTGTCCGATTGGAAACCCATGTGGACACAACATCCTGGGTGTGAAAATATGAGGGAGCGGGGGTGCCCTCGCACAAGACTGCATGATTGAAGATAGGAGGGTCGTTTCAATATGATGCAATCGCAGAGAGTGGTGGGGAGGAGGGGCAGGAAGAGGAGTAGGAGGAGGAGGAGGAGGAGGAGGAGGAGGAGGAGGAGGAGCAGGAGGAGGAGGAGCAGGAGGAGGAGGAGGCGTAGGGAGACCAGCAGCTGGGAGGCTTGGGCGAGGTCGGGGCTGCTGGCAGGCCAGCAGCCCCGACCTCGCTCAGGCCCGCTGTCGCTTTCTATAAGCTGGGCCAGATTTTCCTTCGTTCGCGGGTTTGGGATTTGGGCTTGAATGGAGAATTTGGAGAATCAGGAGGAGGAGGAGGAGGAGCAGGAGGAAGACAGATGAGGAGGAGGAGGAGGAGGAAGCGGATGGGGAGGAGGAAAGAGGATGGATGGACGGGGCCGTATTTGTCGGGAGGTGACCGCACCAGAAGCAAGGAGGGGATTCCTTTGGAAGACAGGGAAGGGTCTCCGAACAGGCGCAACCCATCCCTCGTCCCATCACTGCCCATGGCAAGTGACGGGCAATGGACCGCTGTAGCCCTGCAGGGCTCTCGCTATATGTCGCGCGAGCGCCTTCCTCCGTGCAACCATGGCTTGTCGAACACGAACGTGGAGAAAGCAGCGTTGATGTCCGTACTCGTGAGCTTGGTGCCGAAGAGCTCGACTCCACGCTCGTTCAGCATCGGCACACAGAGGAGCGCTGCCATGGGCTCCACACGGAATAGCAGCACCAAAGCAGCCAGAAGCCTTGCGATGGGCTCCACCAGAAGCGACCGGAGCCCATTGCTCTCGAGATCCATCACATACGTCGTCACCACGCTCGGGACAAGGCAACACCATGGGTTCCACGAGGAACGGCAGCAACCATATGATTACAAGCACCACCGCGTGCGGCGTCAGCGTGTTCAGCTATTTCACATAAAAGAGCCTCTGCTAGCAGTGCAGCAACATCTGGAATAGCAGCAGCGTCACGTACAGCGCCGCCAAAACCAGAAGCACTGGCATTGGCTCCACAAGGGAAGCCTGTGCCCCGTTGCTCACGCGGCCCATCACGTGAAGCGTATGCGAAGGCGGCCAAACGAGGACTACAGTCAACGCGTCTTGTAAGGACGCGCGCCTTCATATAGGATACCCTTGCGTCCTTGCCTCTGTGGCCCGTCCTTTGCCGTTTTCACTGGTCGCCGCCGCCCAGAAAAATCCCAACTTCAGCCTCCAAGGGTCTTGCGTCCTTACCACGCGTCCTTCATATACTTTTGACTGCAGCAACACTTGGAACCAGGGCAGAGCACGCCAGAGGCGACCACCACGTCGGACTCACGTGCGTCCTCCGAGTCCTCGGCCACCTCCCTTGGCCGGAACTCGGCCGCACCGGCGCGGAGTGGCCGGCGCGGCGCCACGAGCGCCTGCTCCAGCACCTCGGCACGCGGGCCAGGAGGCGGCCGTGGCGGGAGGCCATGCGCCAGGGGCGGCGGGGCGTGCCTCGCACCGTTTTTGGCATCGCTCGGAGGTGTGCACTTTTTCTCGGCGGGGATGAAGGAGCATCCTGGAGCATCCTGCGAAAAGACCACACACGAAACCGAACAAAAAAGCACAGGGAACGGACGTCCGAGCGATGGCCAGCGTTGCCCCCCCAGTCGTGACCTCCACCGCGCGCTGGAGGCGCTCTGGCCGCAGCCCCGCCCTGCGAGCTGCGAGCTGCGACGACCGCCTCGCCCATCGTGGGGGTAGTCGCGCCGATCTCGCCGCCGAGCTCCCGGTGCTCGGTGCGCGCGACGCGGAGGCCGTGCAGCCGGCGAGGCAGCGCCGCCACACGAGAGACGACCCGCGCGTCCCGCCGCGCCCGGTGGAGACGCTCGGCAAGAGCCCGCGCGCTGGCCGCCGCTCAGCTTCGGGCTTCCATCGCGGCCACCGGCGCGCACCCGAGCGCCTGCTCCGGGCGCGCAGCGACGCGAGGGCCCCGCGCTCGTCTGCGCACCTGAGCCAGAGTGGCTACGGAGGGAGGCAAGAGGAGGCGGAGGAAAGGCCGTCGCAGGCCTAGAGGAGGACACCAACGCCGGCCTCGGCGGCGCGCCTCCGCCGCGGGGAGAAGATCTCGGTCTCGGCGATGCTGGTAGTACTCTGGCCGCCGAGGTGGCCGGAATACTACCACCAACGCCGAAGTCTAGGATCATCTTCCCCCTGTGGAGGCACCCCCCCTGAAGTTGGTGTTGGTGCCCACTTCCAGGCCTCCAGGGCTGAGGAGGGGGAGGGCCGCCCCAGCCGCGCAGGCGAGGCCCTCGCCCGGCGCGGCGGAGCGCAGCGGGCTGGCCCGGTGGGCGGAGGCCCGGCGGGGGCTGCCGGCGGCAGCCTGCGGCGGCGAGCGCCCTCGATGGCCACGGCGGCGGCGGAGACGACCAACGATCTGCGACGGCAGACGATTGCGGCGACAGACGAAAGAGCGGCGACGCCGAGCGGCGACGGCGACGGCGGCGGCAGCGGTCGCGGCGTCGGCGACGAGCCACGACGTGCGACGGGACGGGCGACGGCGGCGGCGGCGGCGGCGGGGGAGCAGTTGGCATGAAGGAGAGGGGTTCCGAGGGAGCACGGGTTCCGGACCTCGGCCGGGGCCCAGGACCAGCGCTCCTTGCCGAGCCGTTCTTTTTCAAGGTGTTCTGGGGGCCCGTGGAGGGCCCCAGTGGAATTGAAACCGCGAAGCACTTCCAGGGCTCGTCTCATTCATGCGAAAGACGGCGACGACGATGAGTGCCACCAAGATAGGTGCCCAGTTTTTGGGTACTTCGGGAGCGCGCGCTGGAAAGTAGCAGGAAGGCCACCCTTTTCGTGCGGTGTGGTTGAGGCGAGTGTTAGGAAAAGTCCACCTTCCAGGCCGCGGTGTCCACCGCGTTGGATGAGATCTCGAGCCGAGCACGTTCTGTCTCCACTGATCCCACCATCCTGGAAATTCCAGTTGGAGTCAGGGCGTTAGCACTTCCCTTGCCGCAGATGTTTCCCGAAGCGTTGCAAGCGACAGAGGTTGGTGGCGTTCAGCGCTCACCTACCACTCCAGAGACGGGCGTGCCAGTTGCAGCGGCACCAGCGCCCAAGAAGGCACCTTGGCCCATTAAATCGGGTCGGGCGAAAGGGGGGGATTGGGAAAGGGGGGGTTACGAAATTTGCTGCATGCAGCTGGTTTCGGCCTCACCGAGGGGCCCATTCCTCGATACATGGCCGCTCCTGGTGCCGGGAGGCGCCGGGAAAATCAGCTACGTAAGCTGATTCTCAAACCCCCCCTTTGCTATCCCCCCCTTTCGCCCGACATTAAAGCAGGGGGGGGCGCAGGTGGGGCCCGCCCGACGTGACCGATCCGTTGACGAAGTTTCAGGGGGGTGGCGGCGGCCCGTCCCCGATGTCGTCCCCCAGGCCGCGTGGGTGCCAGCAGCGGCGGCGGGTCAGCGAGTGGTGGGTCCGCACGCAGCTCGAGCTCCCGCCGCCGCCGGCGGGAGCTGGTCGCCCCCCGACGCGTCCTCCCGCTCCGAAACCGCTGGCCAAGGCCGAGGCTGGGCACAGCATTGGTGAGCTCCGTCGGCCGCAGCTTTGCGCAGGCGTGGTTGATCGAGCACGGCCCCAACTTCGCTCCAGTCCCAGGGCATTACAAGTGGCTGACTCAAGCCGATATCAGGCCGCGCGTAATTTTTGGCTGAGTGTTTCGTTAATTGGACGGCTGATAACCCAGAGCCCGAACTTGCTGGTCCATCTTTGCAGGCTATCTCGCAGGGCGATTGCTTGGCGCTTAGAACCAGTGCTGGTTTCAGTTATGTCGGTGGCTACAATATGTTACCATTGCCGTACCTGGAGGGGCCGCCCCTGTGGCGGAACGAGGTATCGGTCCACCGCTTGGTTGTGCATAGTGCACGGTCAATGCAGGTCAGTCGCCCCCAGGCCAAGTTACCCAAGAACAACCGTGCGCCGTGGGGCTCGAGAGATCCCTGCCAGTCGCTCATCGAATGCAATCGTGGTTGCCAAACTCGTCCTCGTAACGTTTTCAAAACGCAGGTCTTCACTCAGGCCGCTCCTGAGAAGCGCGAAGCTGAGTTTTTTTTGTTCGTTTCATTGTTTTTGGTTTTCAAATTTTTTGATGCCAGGTTCGGAATGCTGTGGACCGGCGACCCAGTGATCCTTGCGACCAAGGTTATCTAGAAGGAGTCCCACAGTAGCCACTGTGAGATCAGTATTGGAACGATTGCCATGAGGTTGTCGACGGAGGAGTTTGCCGAGTTCTTCTCAAACGGGCGCATGAGTCGGTGAGGTCTTACAAGCAGGGCGACACGCCCGAGCGGTTAAATTAGAGATGGGATGCGCGCCACGCGCAGCTCCGGGCACGTGCCCGCGCCGAGCGGAGCTCAAGGTCACGCTATCGCACGGACATCGCGCAATCGACGGTCGCCCCATCTTGGAGTTCGACGCCGCTGCAAGTCGAGGAAAGATGTCGTGCGCTGGCAGGCCTAACTACCAGCGTACGATTTCGAGCTCTGGGTCAGAGGGGGCAGGTGGTTCATTGCTCAGGATCGGGGGAGGCATTCGCGCTGACTTCCCGAGTTACGTGCGCAATCTGCACCGTTCGTTCTAGGAGGCAAATGGGCGTTGCGAGAGCGTGGTGGGTAAGAGCATCAAGTCGCTTAGAGACCATGACTACGGGTGTTGGGTTTTTTTCAGGATCATCACGACGACGCCGACCATGCAACGACAATGTGCGACCCCGCCGATAAGGCCGGTTGTCCGTTTTCAGTTTGGACAATACCCCGAGGCAAGTCAGGGCGCGCGGCGGCCGCGCGACCACCCCAACGAGGTCGGCCAGCCGCCGTTACCAGCGCTAGGTGATGTGTTATTTCTTCCTCGGCTTGTTAGCTATCACCACTACTGACAATGTTACAGAATCTGCATGTTTTGGCACTTCGCGGCTGTTTGCATTAGTGTACCGTTTGTTAGGAAGCCCATGGGCGTTCACGACCGGACCACAGCCGGTTTTTGCCAGTGTTGATTACGCATGCTTTGGATTCCGCACATGGTTTGCCTTGCTGGATGTATGTAGGTGTGTTGTGTTTACATATCTATGTGCATGTATGTGTATACATATAACGGCGCACCTGGTCCGGGGGCCCGGGGCCGGGACCACGACCGCAAATGTGGGGACCGGGGGCTTTGGAGGCGCCGGAGGCCCACAGAATGCCATTAGAAAGCGCCAGGAGAGCCCCAAAACGCTCCAAGAGAGACCCGAGACACCCAAAGGTCGCTCTAAGACGCCCAGCATTGCCTCCGGACGGCTTCAGAAGCCCCCAAGACGCCCCAAAAGGCGTCCAAGCCGCGCCCGAAGAGATCTCCAAAAGGCAAAAAAAGCTCCGTTCCTTTCGTAAAACGTATATTTTTACTACATCAATTGTTTTCGCTGCCGTACAGTTCATGACGACGCCGGAGGCCCCCAAGACAGCCCCAAGCCAGCCCAAGAGGCGCCCCAGAGGGCCACAAGACAGCCCAAGAGAGCCTCAAGACGGCCCAAGAGGCGCCCAGAACAGCCCAAGTGCGGCCCTGAGGCCCACAAAAGGCTACCAGAAAGGACTCGGGACGTTCCAAACGCGACCCGAGACGCCCAATGGTCGCACCAAGACGCCCAACATCGCCCCAGACGGCTTCAGAAGCCGCCAAGACGCCCCAAAAGGTCTCCAAGACGCGCCCGCAGAGATCTCCAAAAGGGCAAAATAGCCCCATTCCCTTCGCAAAACGTATATTTTTACTACCTCAATTGTTTTCGCTGTCGTATAGTTCTTGACCACATCAGAGGCTCCCAAGACCGCCCCAAGACAACCTAAGTGGCGCCCCGGAGGGCCCCAAGACAGCCCAAGAGAGCCCCAAGACGGCCGATGAGGCGCCTAAAACAACCCAAGTGCGCCCCTGAGGCTTACAAAAAGCTACCAGAAAGGATTTAATACGCCCAAAGGTCACCCAAGACGCCCAACATTGCCTCCAGACGGCTTCAGAAGCCCCCAAGACGCCCCAAAAGGCCTCCAAGACGCGCTCGAAGAGATCTCCAAATTGCAAAAATAGCCCCATTCCCTTCGTGAAACGTATATTTTTACCATATCAATTGTTTTCGCTGTCGTACACTTCTTGACGACATCGAAAGCCCCCAATACTACCCCAAGACAGCCGGAGAGGCGCCCCAGAGGGCCCCAAGACGGCCCAAGAGAGCCCCAAGGCGGCCCAAGACGCGCCCAAAACAGCCCAAGTGCGCCCCTGAGGCCCACCTACTGGATTTGGCTCAGGACTCTCGTGATATCAGAGAAGGTACGAACACCGTTTTTATATTCAGCTGTCTGCGGCATGCCCCGCCACCGTGCCAGCGCAGCTCTTGTGACACCTCTTGTCTCTATTGAAGACGCCTAATGCGAATCACCACCGCCCCCTTGCCTTATTGGAAACGTTTATGTGGCCAAACGTTGGGCCAAAGTTTGTCCAAGGTATTGGGCTATGTGTTCCCACAGCCGTTGTGGAAACCCGTGGGAACACTTGGGGGAGGAAGAGGGAGAGGATTAGACGCAGGAGCAAAAGGTGGAGGAGGAGGAGGAGGAGTAGGAGGAGGAGGAGGAGGAGGAAGTAGGCCTCTCGGGGGCCTCCTGAGGGCCTCTTGGGGCCTCTTGGGAGCTTCTTGGGGCCTCTTGGGCCGTCTTCTGTCGTCTGACGCCTGCGGAGGCCGTCTTTGAGGACTCTCTGGGCCGCCTTGGGGCCTTCTTGGGGCGGTCCAGGGCAGTCTTGAATGTCTATTGGGCCGTCTTGGAACCCTCTAGGGACCTTCTTGGAGGCCTCTTAGGCAATCTTGGGGCCCTCTTGGGCAGTCTTGGGGCCTTCTTGGGCGCCTCTTGGGCTGTTTTTGGGCCATCATGGGGGCCTTTTGGACCTTTCTGGGCCGTCGGAAGCCAAACAAATGAGAACGCTAAAATCGCTTCAAACGTGCCGCCGCATATTGTCGACCTCTGTGCGGCGTCGGACGCCGAGCCGCTTGGCCAAAATATTCCGGAAGCCGTTTGGCTAAAATATCTTTGCGGGCGTTCGCCCTTCTCTTGCGCCTTGCTTAGGTTCAATTGGGCTTAACCTACGCTCATGTGGGGTAGTTCGAGGGCACCTGGAGGCTCTACGCGGCCGTCTAGGCGTAGGATGCGCAGGATGGGTCACACGTGACAGCTTTCGTCTTCCCTTGTGGACTAGCCCTTCTGAGTCGTCAAATTCGACACCTCTTGTTATCACGTTTCTCCCGGCTCTCATGAACACTGCCCGGATTGTCTAGGGGCCCACCTACGCTTGTGCGGGGTTTGGATGGGCCTGTCGCGTGCTTGGCGCGAGATGCAGGATGCGCTGGATGCGTTGCGTGTGGTACCGAGCGTCTTCTCTTCTGGACAAACCACCCCCCGTCGTCATCGGCCTGTTTCTGGGGTTGCCTTGGGCTTCTGTGGGGCGGTTTCGGAGAGCCCTGGAGGTCCTCCAGGGCTGTGTTTGGCCAACTAACCCCAGCGTCGGGTGCCGAAGAGGGAGAGGATGAGAAGAGGGAGCAAAGGGAGAAGGAGGAGGAGGAGGAGGAGGAGGAGGAGGAGGAGGCAGTAGGCCTCTTGGGGGCCTCCTGAGGGCCTCTTGGGGGCCTCTTGGGAGCTTCTCGGGGCCTCTTGGGCCGTCTTCTGTCGTCTGACGCCTGCGGAGGCCGTCTTTCAGTCCTCTCTGGGCCGCCTTGGGGCCTTCTTGGGGCGGTTCAGGGCAGTCTTGAATGTCTATTGGGCCGTCTTGGAACCCTCTAGGGACCTTCTTGGAGGCTTCTTCGGCAATCTTGGGGCCCCCTTGGGCAGTCCTGGGGCCTTCTTGGGAGCCTCTCGGGCTGTCTTGGGGCCATCTTGGTGCCTTCTGGGCCTTTCTGGGCCGTCGGAAGCCATTGGCAGCGGGGGCGTCACCACGCAGAGTTTTTCAAGATCAGACACTTTGAAAACCAATTGTTTCCATTGCCAGAAAGTATTCCAGGCATCCCAGTTGGGGTCCGAGTCGATGGGGTTGGAGGATCGCGCCGTATCGTCGATGTATCGGCGATGCGGCTCGATGTGGAGCCCGAATTGTTCCACGCTGGAGTCGCCGATGCATCGGCGATGCATCGCCGATGTGTTGGCGATGCGGTGCGATCCTCCGGCCCCATCTACGCCGACCCCCTCTAGCATGTGTGCATGTGTGTATGTGTATGCCTGTGTGTATGTATGTATGTATGTACGTACGTACGTACGTACGTGCGTGCGTGCGTGCGTGCGTGCGTGCGTGCGTGCGTGCGTGCGTGCGTGCGTGCGTACGTACGTATGTATGTATGTATGTATGCATGCATGCATGTATGCATGCATGTAAGTAAGAATGTATGTATGTATGTATGTATGTATGTATGTATGTATGTATGTATGTATGTATGTATGTATGTATGTATGTATGTATGTATGTATGTATGTATGTATGTATGTATGTATGTATGTATGTATGTAATGTATGTTTGTATGTATGTATGTATGTATGTATGTATGTATGTATGTATCATATACTTGGAAACCGGGGGCCAGGGCCCCGGGCCGGGAAACCCTCCCGAATTTCCCCCCCCCCCCCCGTAACCCACTTTGCCCCCGGGCGTCCGGAGGCTCTTTTGCGCCCCTGGAGGCGTCCACCACGGCTTCCGGGGACGGCAAGAAGCCGCCAAGACGGCCCAAGAGCGCTCCAAGACTCTCAAGATAACCCCATCAAGGCCCAAGGGGCCCCCAAGAAGCCCCAGGGGCGCTCCGAGAGGCTTTCCAAGAGAGCCCAAAGAGGCAACAATCATATATTTTCATTGTGTTTTTTCAATGTTTTGTTGCTTGCCCGCGTTTTCGGGCTTCTGACCTTCCAAGATTGCCGAGGAAACCTCGAACATCGCCCCAAGACGGCCCAAAAGGCCCCCGAGAGGCCCCCAAGACAGCCCAAGAGGGCGCCCAAACGGTCCAAGAGGCGCCCAAGACGGCCCAAGAGGGCTTCAAGACGGCCCCAAGAGGTGCCAAAGAGGGGGAACACGAACCGACAATGGAGATTTCCGCCCCAATAGGCCCCCAAGAGGCCCCAAGAGGCTTAAACATGCCCCCGTCAGAGACCCCAAAGAGGCCCCAAGATACCCCAAAACGGCCCCCCAGAGGCTTCGAAACATTTCAAAATTGCCTCCCCCCAAGAACCACTCCAGAGGCCCCACGAAACCCACTGAAGGCCCCAAAGAAGCCCCTACAGTCCGCAAGCAGCCACGGACGAGCCCCGCGAGGCATCATAATTGCCTCGAACATGTTCTTTGGAAGCTTCGCAAGAGACCCCAACAAGCATCCAATATGCCTCTGACCCACAACACAGGCACGGTGGCGGCTTCATCCGTTGCCCTCCTGTTGATTTGGCCCCAGGATTCACGACGGCCCCAAGAGAAGGGCAAGATGGCTGAGATCAGTCCGAACCACAAGCGGACGCTGGGGCATCGGTTCCATTATTTATCTTCCCTCCTCTCTCTCGCCCCCCTCCCCTCAGTCCCTCCTTGCCCGCTCCCCCATACATATGGCCTCGCTTGATCGAGTAATCATCTTGTACAGCGTGAGCTCCACAGTGAGATGGGCCGCAAACGCCCAACGAGACCCTGGACTAACCCCCCGCGGCGCCCAAGAGACCCTTCTCTGCTGGGGCCAGGCTCATGTTGATGTTTCAAACCATGCTGAAAACCATTCGTCGGTACGTGCATTCGTGCAGCCGTGATTTTGTCAATGCGCGCAGCCGTGGTATTGTCAAGAGCCTGCGCTTGCTGGAACCTAAGCGCGCGCGAAGCGCGCGCGTGGTTCTAGTGTACATATATATATATATATAGATATACATATCATCCAGTCTGTTCGTTTTCTGCATTATCTTCCGTGCTTGTATTCGACCACATTGGCCGGGGGGGTCCGAACATACCGTTGCGACTGGGTGAGGAGGATGCCCAAGTGTAGCTTTCAGGCGGATGTCGCTACCGACGCCGCTTGGCTAGAGTAAACAAGGGCTGCGAAGTGTTTTCGTTGCATTGTGATGCATCGCGTCGATCCGTTCTCGTGCAAATCCTCCGCGGGATTTTGTAAGGAGGGGGGAGGCGGGGATGGACACGGACTGGGATAATGATTTGGCGTATGTCGAGGATGATTGGGGGGCGGAAGAGGGATACGGATGAGGGAGGTGGAGGCGCGAGGAGGATGCGCGGGCTAGCAGAAATACGGGGAGGAGGAGGAGGAGGAGGAGGAGGAGGAGGAGAGGAGGAGGAGGAGGAGGAGGAGGAGGAGGAGGAGGAGGAGGAGGGAGGGAGGAGGAGGAGGGGAGGAGGAAGGGGGAGGAGGAAGGGGGAGGAGGAGGAGGAAGGGGGAGGAGGAGGAGGAGGAGGAGGAGCAGGAGGAGGAGCAGGAGGAGGAGGAGGAGGAGGAATTGGAGCAGGAGGAGGAGGAGGAGGAGGAGGAGGAGAGTTCAGATGAATTCAGGGAATGAAGGTTTAGGACAAACGGCGTGATCAGGGAGGTGGTCACGGGAGGTAGGTCAAAGGGGATAAGGGGGTGCGGTTGAGGACCTTAAGGAAGGGGATGTGAAAAAGGAAGAGGAACAGGTTGCGGCGGACGCGGAAGAGAATTGAGGAAGGATGACGATGGGAAATGGAAGAGGGCAATGATGAGGAGGCGGTTGCGGCGGAGGCGGACGGAAATTATGGAAAGAAGGGATGAGAGGGGGAGCAGTCGGACAATGAAGAGAGGGTGGATCAGCTGGGATGGGGGAGGAAGGGGGGGCAAGGACGAGCGAAACGAGGGGGCGTCGGGGGTGGGGGCGGAGGCGGAAAGGGGCGGAGGAAGCAAGGCGGCGAGAGGAAGGGAGGGCGTCGGCGACGAGGCTGTGGACGCGCGCCTCGGGCGCTTGGAGGAGCAGGCCCTGCAGCATGCGGCCCTCTCCACTTCGCTGACGCGGCACGTCGAGCAGGCGGATGGGGTGAGAGGGGGATGGAATAGGAGGGCGCCGGGAAGAAGAGGGAGGGAATTTAATGAGGGAGGATCGGGGGAGACGATGAGGGTGGATGGCCCACGGGTGGGCGTTACACAGTTCGGGGACAGCATTGTTTGTGGCGCTGGAGTGTGGGGGCGGGGAGCTCGAGCAGGCGCGCGGCGCAAGACTTTGATTGGCGCGAAGATGGCGCACCGAATGAATGGCGGGGTAGCGCCGGCGCTCGCCAGATGCGCAGGCGCGCGGGGGGGGCGGGAAGAAGAGGGATGCAGAGGAGGGGCCCTCCTCTCGTGGCTCGACTCCAATTTGTTTTAGACCTGTCTCTATAGATTGCCCTTCCTGGGGCGCGAAAGCCCCGTGCGTGTCTACTTATGCTCATATCGAGTTCCCCTCGCCTGTGGCTCGAATCTGGTGCGTTTCCCGCATGTTCCTGTATCTTGCCCTTCTCCTGTGACTCGAAGCCTATGTGTTTTACGTGTGTTCCTATCTACATACGTATACACTACATTTATATGTAAACTATACATGCCTGTCTGTATGTCTGTCTGTCTGTCTGTATGTATGTATGTATGTTTGTACGTACGTACGTACGTACATATGTATGTATGTGTGCTTGCATGTTTGTATGTATGTATGCCTGTCTGTCTTCTGTCTGTCTGTCTGTCTGTCTGTCTGTATGTATGTATGTATGTATGTATGTATGTATGCGTATATATGTATAATTGTACAGAACCATAATGTGTATTCATATGTTGTCGTTTCTTGGGGCTCGACTCCTGTGTCTTCTACGTATGTTCCTAAATGTTGTCCCTATCCTGGGGTTCGAACCATATGTCTTTCAATGCTCCCGTACAGTGCCCTCTCCCTGTGGCTCGAGTTCTGTATGTTTTACGTGTGTGCCCATTGTTTGCTCCTGTCTTGGGGCTCGTATCGCCTATGTGTGTGTTTACGTATGTGCCTATATATTGCCCCCCCCTCTCTTGCGGCTCTTGTCTTATGTGTTTACCGCATGTGCCTGTAGATTGCCCCTCTCCAGTGGCTCGAACCCATGTTTTTTCGTGTGTGCCTATAGATTGTGCCTCCCCTGTGACTCCAAGCTTATGTGTCGCCCCAGGCCTCCCCGGGCTCCGGGACGGAACGTCGGACATTTTTTGTACAGATGCCGATTCGTTGACTTTTTGGTCTTTGGGCGGCCCGTCTTCTGGCCTCCCGAGACCCCCTGGTCCCCGGGACGGAACGTTGGATGTTTGTTGGCCTCGGGGCGCCTTTGGGTCTCCTGAGGCCCGGCGCCCCCTTCTCGTGTGGCTCGAAGCCTGTGTGTGAATGTGTTTACGTGTGTGCCTATATATTGGCCCCCCCTGTTGCTCGAATCCTATGCGTTTTACGTCTGTGCCTATAAGTTGCCCCTGCCCTGAGGTTCGACTCCTGTGTGCTTTACGCGTGTGCCTGTGGATTGCCCTTCTTCTGTGACACGAATCTTTTGTGTGTTTGCATATGTGCCTATGGATTGCCCCTTCCTGTGGCTCGAAGCCCGTGTGTGTGTGATTACGTATGGGGCTCGAATCCTATGTGTTTTACGCATGTGCTTATCTGTGATCCTGGCTCCCGGTTTGGCGCCCCCCCCCATATTGGATGGGTCCCAGGATTCGGCGGCCCCCCCTCCACCCCCCTCCCAGATGGGTTTGGGGGGGACGACGTCGCCGCCGTCGTCGCCGTCGCCGTCGTCGTCGTCGTCGTCGCCGCCGTCATCGTCGCCGTCGTCCTCGCCGTCGCCGTCGTCGTCGTCGTCGTCGTCGTCGTCGTCTGTCGTCGTCCCTCCCTCTCCCCCCTCCCTCCTCTCCCCTCGCCCCCCACATGTCTCCCTTGCTCCACCCCCCCTCTCTCGCGCCCTCTTTGGAACGAAGAGGCGGAAAGGGAGGCAGAAGCAGACGAAGACGAAAACGACGACGACGGCCCCCACCACCTCACACCCACAGGCCACAGGCCACACCACACCCACAGGGGGGGGGCGGGGGGCGGGCCCAGGTCCATTGGGGGGTGGGGAGGGCCCAATACCATTAGCATGGTCGGGGGGGGGGCCCGGGACCTGGATCATATACCCCTCTCCTGGGGCTCGAATTCTCTATGGCTTTCTCGTATGTGCCATCGATTGCCGCTCTCCTGTGGCTTGAATCCTGTGTGTTTTAAGCATGCGCCTGCACACTTGAACAATATGAGTACTACTCTGCCTCCTCTTGCAATTGTCCGTAGGATCTCCCGCCCCCTCCGCGTGCAGATTGTTTGAAATAAGTTCAAACCTGGTTGTCTTTCATTATAGTTTTTGTTTCAATCCGATTGTTTGCGGTGTGTCAAAGTGGTGCTCCCGTTGCAGGATGGGGTCTACTATCGGATCGGTGCCTTTGCTCCCGTTGTCCGCAATGGGGCTCTTGCCCACGAGGACCTCAGATCCCCTCCTCTTACGATGTTCCAACCTTTTTTAGCCTTGATCACCCGACGGAATTTCGAGCACCACGAAAGTACCGAAACCGGAGGGCTTTCACGTGTCGGGCCCTGGGGGGCGATACTCGTTCGACACTGTTTCGATACTTTTCTGGGTGCCGAAATTATTTCTGGGATGTGGTCCCTAAGTACGACGGGAGCAACATCACCCTCCTCCGCCTTCCCCTTTCCGCCCGATCCGCCCGCTTTGGTTGATGCTGCTGTTGTTTGTCCCTCTGTTTTTCTCTCCCACTCATCCTTCCAGTCGTCCATCACCTCCGCGCTTGTGCACGACGCTCCCTCGTGTTTCCGACTCTGCGCATCACACGACGTGGTCGTTCCGTGGGAGTCGCAGGTCGGCTGTGCCACGCGTCCGCGGACAGAGACGCATCAAGCCATGGGAAGGGCTTGGAGGGAGGGATACTCCAAATCCCTTATTAATCGACCCCTCCTCAGAAAACCGGACCCCCCTCCCAATGCGGCCTACTATTCCGGACCCCCCCGCTTCGACGGTGCGCCTCAATTAACCGGACCCCCTAAGCTCCAGTCCACAGAAAGCGCCCTAATAAGCCGGACCCCCCAGTTACAAAACAGGCGCCTTAAAAAAAACGGACTCGGGGGACGATTAATAAGGGATTTGGAGTAGGATGTCAGATGAGGCGAGTGCGTACCTAGCTGGATGTTGCCCCTCCTGCGGCTCGGGTCCTGCGTGTTTTACGCATGTGCCGATCGACTGCCGTTCTCTTGTGGTTCGATTTTCACGTGTTTCATTCTTGTGCCACTAGGTGTGATTATACAAAATATGAAAGAGCGCGCTCGGGGCGCACTTCTCATTAAAAGGGGGGGCCAGCTTCAAACTTCCCCCCTCCCTTGGAAAACGGGGCTTCCAAAGCTCCCCCCCTCCCCCCTTTTGTGGGCATGTTTTAGCTGAGGGGGGGCCCTAGCTAAAGGAGGGGGCTTGGAAGCTACCCCTCCCTTGCCACCTTTTCGGGCCCTGGGGTCAGCCCGGACTCCCCTTTCAAAGGGGGTGGGGGCATCCGAAGTTACCTCTCTCCCTTCCTTTTGTTTGGATCTTGTAGCTGGAAGCTAAATTCCCCCTTCCTTTTCGGGGCCCAGGGTAAATCCAGGCCCCCCTTTTGAAAAGGGGGGGGTCCGAAACTACCCCCCCTCCCCTCTTTTTCTTGGCTGTTCCAGCCCGAGGGCCCTGGCTGAAGGCGGAGGAGTTCGAAACTACTTTTCGTCTTTGGTTTTCGGCGCCTCGTTGGTTTGCGGCGTACTGGTGTTATTATATCTTTGTTTGGTTTTCAGTGCATCTTTGGTTTTCGGCGCGTGTGGGGACGTTGGCGCTTCTTTGGTTTTTGGCGCTCCTTGGGTTTTCGGCGACCCTTTGGTTTTCGGCACTCCTTTGGTTTTCGACACTCCTTTGGTTTTCGACGCCCTCGTTAGTTTCCTGCGCACCTTTTTTAAGACTTGTTTTCGGCGCCCTCTTGGGTTTCGGAACTCCTATTGCTATTCGGCGCCCTCTTGGTTTTCGGTGCTCTTTGGTTTTCGCCGACCCTCTCAGTTTTCGGCGCCATTTTGGTTTTCGGCGCTCTTTGGTTTTCGGCGCCTCTTTGGTTTTGGGCGCCCTTAAGCGATCTGCGCGCCTTTCGTTTTTGGCGCGCTTTGGTTTTCGACGCCGTTTTTGTTATCGGCGCGTCTTGGGTTTTTTGGCGCCCTTTTGCCTTTCGGCGTATAGTTGGTTTTCGGCGCTTCTTTGGTTTTCGGCGCCCCTCTGGTTTCCGGCGCCCGTACGTTTTTTTTGTTTTCGGTGCATTGTCCGTCTGAGGAGTTTCTGTTGTTTTCAGGACCCCTTTCGTTTTCGGCCCCCTTGTGGTTATCGGCGCCACCGTGTTTTTTTCGGCGCCCTGTTGGTTGTCGGTGCCTCGTTTGTTTTCGTCGTTCCTTGGCGTGGTTTTCGGCGCCCCTTGGGTGTTCGGCGCCCCTGTAGTTTTCGGTGCCCTCTTGGTTTTCGGTGCTCCTTTGGTTCTCGGTGTCCTTTTTGTTTTCGGTGTTTTTTTTTCTCGTTCCCGACGCGTCATTGGTTTCTGGCGCATCTTTTTGCAATCGGCGTTTTGTTGGTTTTCGTCCTCTTATCAGTTTTCTGCGCCCCCTCGGTTTTCGGCGCTCTTTTGGTTTTCGACGTCCTTTCGGTTTTCGGTGTTCCTTGGGTTCTCGGCGCCCTCGTGGTTTTCGGCGCCCCTTTGGTTTTCGGCACTACATCGGTTTTTAGTGCCGTTTTGATCTTCGGTGCCCTTGTGGTTTTCTGCGCTCCTTTGGGTTTCGGCAGTGTTTTGTTCGTCGGTGCCTTCTGGGTGTTTGCCGACCCTTTTGTTTCCGGCGCCCTGCGGGGCAGGCCAGGGGGCGAATGCCCCCCCCCCCTGGGAGTGTGCCGCGGGCGCGTTCTTTCATGTCCAGATCTTTTCCATACTATAATCTGACATGTTTGCGAGCGAAGCTGAACTAACTCTTGCAGCCCTCTGTTCGGCCCAAGAGAAAGAGCCCCTGCTCCTCCCCCCCCCTGCCGCGGGGTGTGGGTACGAGCGTGGCAGCGAGGCCCGCTTGATCGCGGGCAGCCGTGCGTCTCGTGAGCTCGTCGCGGCGCGCGCGGCGACGGCGGCCGGGCGGCGGGCCCCCCCTGCGCTCGGGCCAACGGCGGCCAGACGGCGGGCCCCCCGCGCCGCGGCCAGGACGGCGCCCCCACTGTGCGGCTGACCTCGCGGCGACGCGGAGTGCCTCCGCAGCGGCGGTGGGCGCGGGCAGCCCCGCGCCTCTCCGCAAGAGGGCGAATAGGCGCGGGCAGCGAAGCTGCGAGGCTCGGCAGCGCCGAGAGTCTCGCGGCAGCGCCAGGCGCAAGTTCGCGCGGAGACGCAGCCCCGAGGGGGGGGCCTCCGAGCGCCGCAACTGCGTCGAGATAGCATGGCTAGACGCAGACGACGGCAAGGATGGAGCAGCAGGTTCGCCAGTTGGCGGACCACGCATGGCAGCTGACGGTGACGAGTCAGCAGCTGCAGGCCGATCTCCAGCACAGAGACACAGCTCCTGCCGGTGTGCGAGGACAGCATCAAGGGCTGGGCGACCGAGGCCGAGCGGCAGCATGAGTTCACGCGGAGATCCCGGGCCCGAAGATCTCACGTAAGGCGGGGCCGCTCGACGGCCAGAGGAGCAGCTGAAAGACGTTCAACTTTCAGTACATGGCGTACCCCATCGCGCAAGACCTAACGCGTAGGGCCTTGCTCGAAAATTGAGGACAACGCGAGCGAGGTGGAGAGAGCGAATCTGAATGCTCAGGAGGACGAGCTCAGCACGCAACTGCACGTCGCCTCGGCCCTGGCGACGCCCGAGGACTCGGCGGGGGGGCAGATCGCGAGGGGCAGCGCCCCGGGAGGTGGGGCCCTGTGCTGGTGGAAGCTGACGAAGGTTTACAGTCCAACAGATGCTGGACGCGCGCTCGCGATGCGGGCGCAGGTCGCAGACTCGAAGTTCAAGCTGCAAGAGGGCGTCTCAGTCAATGTCCAGAAGCGCGACGAGAGCACTGCGTGGCACCAGAAGATGACAGACGGGGTCGCCTCAGACTTGAGGAGAGGGGCCCTCGCCACGGCGCTGAAAGCCCACTCCGAGACAGCTCGCGCCTCCACGCGTCCGAGCTCCTGGGGGGGAGGGGGGGGGGGGCGCCGGGGCCGCGGCGGCGGGGCGAGCGGCGCCCGTCGGCCCGATTGAGGTCGGCGCAGTCACCGGGAATCTCAGAAAGGCACATGCAAGGAAAAGACAAGGAAGGCAATGACTACAGCCAGCAGCAGAGGGACAACCGCCGCTCCGACGCGGAGATCGAGCGCCACTACTATCACGAGATGGGCCGTTGGAAGAGCGGTTGCCGCACGAGGGTCGCCCGCGAGAAACAGAAGGCCACATGGCAATCCACATATAGAAATAGTAATGCGCAGGAGGGGGATAAGACGAAGACGTTTGCCGCCGCCGCGGCAGAGGACCAGGGCGGCTGTGCCGAGAGAGCTCGTCACTGGCCCGCGCGCAGTTGGCCCTGGGGCGCGGAGTGCCCAGCTGCGCAGCCAGCGCGGCGACTCAGACAGTGGTCGGGGGTCTCCAAGCGAAGATGGTTCTGGCTGCATGGACAAGCAGGCGCGACCGCACCACGTCGACCTGTGCTGGGGGCCAGGCGCCCACGACGAGTGCGAGCGCCGTTCTCGCGAGCAGGCTATCAAGGGCGATCGATGGCGCCGCGCCGATTGGGATCTGGACTCTGTCAGACGCGCGGCGCGCCCTGCCTTGATTCCCGTGGCCTCTCGCGGCGACGGTTGCCGCTGCGGTGGAGCGGCTGCGGCCTGCCCCGCGCCCGCTCAGATGAGTGGGCTTCAGGGGCGTAGCGATGGCGATGACCGAGCGCGCTCGGCCCCGATTCGGAACGCAGCGACGGTGGATTCAGGGGCGCAGCGCAGCGCCTTGCCCCGAAAGCAAGCGGAGAAGCACAACTGCGCGTCGAAGGACAGCCATTTGGTGGGCCTGACGTGGGCACTCGGGGCTCAACGTATCCCGAGGCAACCCCAGATGGAGCTGCAGATGCTGACGTGGAACACCCCGGGGTGGCATCAGATGCGGGGGGGGGGGGGGAGAGGGTTCTCCGCAGTCTTGCATGCCACTGGGCCATTGATGGGGTTATCGGGCCGCCCGCTGTCATTGAGTTCGAATCTTTGCGTGGGCATCGGCGCGTCTGCGAATTTGTGTGCGATGGATCCCTGCGAGCTGGAGGTCAGCCAGGATCAAGGTTGGCCGCGGTGAGGAAGGCGCATCCAAGACGCGTGGCAGTCTACCGCGAGCGTTGGGTCCAGAGCCCGACGAGACGACGGCGGCGCCTACGGGGTTGCTCAATTCGCCGTGCCAGCCGAGTGCAGCAGAAAGGGCAGTTCATGAAGGACATCATCTACATTTTCTTCCGCGGAGCCCAGTTCCGTTTCGAGGCCGATGTGTTCCGCGCAATGCGCGGGAGGTTCCAGGCGAGAAGAAGGCATGTTCCGACTTCTTCCGCGTAGGTGCATGCGACTTGGCAACGATGCGCAAGCTTCAAGGATGCTTCCACAGCATTGGGCAAGAGTTGATAATGACGGAAACAGATGTTGAGAAGTCGGTCCCAGTGTTCGGCGCGATCGACTGCGAGGTCCTAGCTCAGGCGGCGCTCTACGCCGACAAGGAGCTTAACGATGACATGTCTGGTCTTCTTCAGAGGGTGTTGGTGAGCTGGGGTCAAGCGACGGTAATGCTGCAGACGGGCTCCGAGCTTGCGACGATGGCCTCGGCGAGTGCTGCAAGGGGCCGAAGGTGTGGCTCCATTCTGGCGCGCTGATCACAGCCCATCCCAGCGCAGAGTGCCGGGTGCATCGATGGAGCCAACAAGCTTGCGGCTGGGCTATTACGGATGTACATGCTATAGCTGGGGCTGATGCTTGGAGTGGAGATACATAAATTAAGAGTTAAGGCGCAGGGCCCGATCGCGCCGTGGCTGGCGGGCGCAGCGGGGTGGGCAATCGCCAAGTTCCAACCGCGCAGCCAATGGGGCCTATCTCATTACATGCTGCGCGGCCAGGAACATCGCGGCGAGATCGCGGTTCTTGGCGAACGGATCTGGCGTCGGATCGCAGCTCGACTTGCAGGGGGTCGGGGCAAATCGGAGCAAGGCTTGCGAGAGGCATTTGGGTCGGCAAGAACAAGTTGGAGGGCGCGCACCTAGCGATCGACGTCGGGCACGGAGTTCAGAAGGTCAGACCTGTAAGGCGGGTGCTTGTGGATTTCAGATGGGTTGGCGAGCTGCTCAAGGGTATCGTGGCGAAGCCCTGGACGCAGACGCCTGCGAAGGCTCCTGCCAGCGTGGGGCGCAGCATGCACGTCGCCAGCTGCTGGTAACCCAGCGGCAGCAATTGGCAGGGAACGGTCAGCCCCGCGCCTCCACGGGCCGAGGGTGTGGCCAGCCACTTGGAGTACAAGGCGGTCGAGCAGATCGAGCAGGTGATGGAAGTCAGCGGCGAGCTTCGCGACAGGTGCCAGCGGGATGACGGGCTTTAAGCGACGCGTGATCACGGCGTGCAGGTCGAGGTGTGCATTTCCTGCACTAAGGGCGGGAAGGTTCGGCGGAGGCCCGCGGCTACAGAGATGAACTAGTACGAGGTCAGGGGTGATGACCACCGAGGGGGCCACCCCCGATGGCACTGTGGTCGATTCTCAATCGTGCAGCTTCGAGTCTCGTCGGCGGAGGAGCGCGAGCTAAATGTGCAAGATTGATGTGCGGAAGGCTGTCTTCAACGCCGACTTGGAAAGGGCGATTACGTTCATCCAGGTCGGGGGTGTTGTCGACCAGGGCGGTGCTAGTCATTCCTTAAAGCGATGAATGGCGCCGGGGTCGCTTCCAATATGTGGGGTGAGCTCTGCAGGGCTGCTCTTCGCGAAGGACGGTGGAATGCATAGCTGGGGCTCCACATGCGGTCTGCGAGCCAGCTACCCCATGTGTTCCAGAAGTTGGGGTGCATGCGACGGCGACATGCCTGGGCAGCGACGTCCTGGCAGAAGGTCGCGATGAGCAGCTCGGCGTGCTAGATGGATTTCTCAGCCAGCAGTTCGAGGTCACGACCAGCGCGAGGATTGGGCCAGGACAGCCTGGACAGACAGGGTACCTCAAAAGGGTCGCTGGCTACGCTGACAAGTTGCCTGAGACGGAGGAGCCCTGGTTCGTCTGGGCGGTGGGTCCGAAGCAGGTGGATTTCTTGGCACGGTGGACCCAGAACAGAGGGTGCAGGCCAGTATCTAGTATCTAGCCCAGGCACGAGGGCCACTGGACAAAGTGCACCTGGCAGCTCGGAGCAGCTGTTGCCGCTTTGCGCCTGCCTTCTGAGCCTGAGACACGATGTGCGCGATCAGGGCGACGATGCAGCGCGAGACGAGCCCCGGCGTCCGGATGCTCTCAAGAGAGCAGCGATTGGAGCGACATTGCGGGTGGAAGCCGGCCGGCGCTTCTTACTCCAGATTCTCCCCGGAAGGAGTTCGCGGCGATGGACATGGGGACTCGGCTCCATCTTCGGGGCCGCAGAGAAGGTCAACAAGTGGTGGAGCCATGCGGTACGATGAAGACCCTTGGGATTGTTTTTCTGTGACGCAGAGTGCGCTTGCACTGAGTTCGTGAGAGTCCGAGATGCGTGCGATTGGTAGTGCCACAGCGCTTCAGCGAGAGGACTCCACTGCAAGAACAATTTCATCGAGACCCAAATAACGAGCGATTTGAATATCTAGAGTGACAGCGCAGCTGGAAGAGGCATGCGCCGAAGAGTTGGCGCGGGCAAGGTGGGACACCTCAAGTTGAGGTTCCTGTGGCTGCAAGAACGTTGCGGCTGCTGAAGGAGCACGCAGATGAGAGATTATGCGGACGCCCTGACAAAATACAGCGAGTGGCCGAAGATCCCCAAGCATTTCGGCACCCTCAACCTGAGGTTCCCGGGCTTCAGCGCAGTGACAAATTTGCCATCTAAAACTCCGACTGCTGGAGCATCGAGCGTGCAGGTCCACGGCGACGCAGGCGGCTCGACGGCGGTTTGCCCCGCGCCGGCTTACAATGGCAACGGAGAGTTCATGCGCCTCTTGAAGGTCATAGTGGCGGCCTTCTCTGCCAGCGTGTTTCTGCTGGGGTGTTCCGCGGATGCCGCGGGAAGAAGCTCTGTGACAAGCGTCCTGGCCAGGCAGTGGCGAGTCCCGCTCCGAGGGGCGCGCTCGAGGCCGCAGTGGGGGGACAAGCGCCGGCGCGCGGCAGGGCGACGGGCCCGACTGCGGGCGCAGGAGCGGGGCGCAAGTTTCTGGTAACGTGCTAGCTGGGTGGGCAAGCAGGTTATCTTCCGAGCTGAGTGCTTCAGGAGTGACTCGGGGCAAGGACTGCTCGGTGTCCACGGTGGTTGGCAAGGGCGAGATCCCGGGCGAGAAGCAGGCCGAAGACAGAGAAGCTACGCGCGGAAGTCACGACTCGTGGGCCGATGCCATCATTGAGCTTGAGTGACCTCGGGAGTCAGGAGGCCGCGCGGAAGTTGATTGAAGTGGTAAAGGAAGGAGCGCCAACCCGACCATGCCGGGCCTCATTTGATCTACGAACGCGACATGAGTGGTTGCCACAGGAAGCAACGCAGCAGGTAGGACAGCTGAGACAGACACCGGTGACTTCGTGCACCGGTGACTTCGTGCACCCTGATGGCGTCGAGAACATCGGTGACCTCGAGTATCCGAGGGGCGTGCATTGGTTGCGGCTAGACCCGCGCCAAGGTGCGCTCAAAAGGGCGATTGTGGCAGTTGCGCAAGGCATGCCCGAACTGGGGGGTTGGGCCCGCTTCCCACGCTGTGTTTTACTTGCATATGCGGTTATGCAATGTATAAGTTGAACTGTTCGGGAGCGAGCCCGCGATCCCGCAGCCGTTGCTTTCCTTTCTGGTCAGACTCAAGAAGAAGAAGAGCCCCTGCTCCTCCCCCCCGCTGCCACGGGGGGAGAGGGGCTCGAGCACCTGTGGCTCGAATCCTGTGCGTTGTGGGCGTCTGCCTGTGGCTTGCCCTTCTCCTGCTCTTCGAATCCCATGTGCCTTACTGATGTTCCTTGGGGTGCACTTCTAATGCGGCTCTAATCTTGTGTGTGTGTGTGTGTGTGTGTGTGTTTACGTGTATGGCTATAGATGACCTTTCTCCTGGAACGCTCTAGCTTGCTATTCCTGTTGTCCTAGGTGCAGAACCGTGGCATGGCCATCGGTTTATCAGCATTCTGGTTGCCAGGCGTGGGGTTGCTCAGTCCCCAAGGCTGTTCCAAGCGCATTCGTGCCACCATGTTGACATCACGAACGCCACCCTCAACAGCAATCTCAGCTCCGCAATCGCATCCGCAAAATGGCGAGGTGTTTTCGCAACCCGACGTTTCGGGCGCCCATCCGCCTCCACGGTTTAGTTGATATTCGAACGCTTTGCTGGGGCATTTGCGTATTTAACTTTGCATGCTTTGAGTGCAATTCAGGTCTCCGGAGGCAGATTTGCAAACATATTTTTTAGAGGCCAAACAAGCAACCAGTGCCAGATTTTTCCCAACCCTCCTTGGTTGGGTATTCGTTTTGAATAGAGCAGTGTGGTCGCGTCTCCTCCCGCCTCCCGCCTCTTCCTGTCTTGCCTGCGGGGGGCTGCGATCTGTGAAACTTTCGCCACTTTCGAAGCCTGCTGGGGGGCCCAGCACAGTGAGGGCCACGGGCGGACCCAAATTAGACCTCGCCATCCCTGGGGGGCTGCGATCTGCGAAACTGTCGCCATTTTCGAGGCCTGCTGGGGGGCCCAGCACAGTGAGGGCCACGCGCGGATTCAAATTAGACCTCGCCATCCCTGGGGGGCTGCGATCTGCGAAACTGTCGCCATTTTCGAGGCCTGCTGGGGGGCCCAGCACAGTGAGGGCCACGGGCGGATTCAAATTAGACCTCGCCATCCCTGGGGGGCTGCGATCTGCGAAACTGTCGCCATTTTCGAGGCCTGCTGGGGGGCCCAGCACAGTGAGGGCCACGGCGGATTCAAATTAGACCTCGCCATCCCTGGGGGGCTGCGATCTGCGAAACTGTCGCCATTTTCGAGGCCTGCTGGGGGGCCCAGCACAGTGAGGGCCACGGCGGATTCAAATTAGACCTCGCCATCCCTGGGGGGCTGCGATCTGCGAAACTGTCGCCACTTTCGAGGCCTGCTGGGGGGCCCAGCACAGTGAGGGCCACGCGCGGATTCAAATTAGACCTCGCCATCCCTGGGGGGCTGCGATCTGTGAAACTGTCGCCACTTTCGAGGCCTGCTGGGGGGCCCAGCACAGTGAGGGCCACGCGCGGATTCAAATTAGACTTCGCCATTCCTGGGGGGCTGCGATCTGTGAAACTGTCGCCACTTTCGAGGCCTGCTGGGGGGCCCAGCACAGTGAGGGCCACGGGCAGATTCAAGTTAGATCTCGCCATCGCTGGGGGGGCTGCGATCTGTGAAACTGTTGCCACATTCGAGGCCTGCTTGGCGGGCCTAGCATAGTGACGCCACGGGCAGACCCAAATTAGACCTCGTTATTCCTGGGGGGCTGCGATCTGTGAAACTGTCGCCATTTTCGTGGCCTGCTGGGGGGACCAGCACAGTGAGGGCGACGGGCAGATTCAAGTTAGATCTCGCCATCGCTGGGGGGGGCTGCGATCTGTGAAACTGTTGCCACATTCGAGGCCTGCTTGGCGGGCCTAGCATAGTGACGCCACGGGCAGACCCAAATTAGACCTCGTTATTCCTGGGGGGCTGCGATCTGTGAAACTGTCGCCATTTTCGTGGCCTGCTGGGGGGACCAGCACAGTGAGGGCGACGGGCGGACCCAAATTAGACCTCGCCATCCCTGGGGGGCTGCGATCTGAGATCCCCGCTTTCGAAGTGGCTAGGGTTGCTCAGGGATTGCAACTAATCAGCTTTATCTAGTCCTTGTCCTGAAGCCAGTTTCCTGCGAGTCTCCCGAATTCCGTCTGCAGACATATGTAACCCTCGCTCCGTCATCGCCCCCCTTATAAAGTGTCCTAAACGATTTACGCCCCGCGTTTGCGCAGGGGTTGGGTACGTCGCCAGGGTAATTTTTTTTATTGGTGTGTTTGTACGCATGTGTCCATCCCGCCACCGTGCTTGGATTGTAGGTACGCGGCTTTTGGGACGTTCGTTGGGGTATCGTCGAAGATTCTCGGGGGAATCCTGGAGGCAGTTTTGGGGTGTCTGGGGGGCTGTTTCGGGGTCTCTTTTGGGCTTCTTGGGGGCCTCTTGTGGGCCTCGTGGGGGTCTCTTGGGGTCTCCTTGGGGTTTCTTACGGGCCTGTTGGGGGCCCATGGGTGCCTCCTCGGGCGGATGGCTCGGATGTTCGGTTCGTGTTTTTTCTTTTGGGCCTTTGTCGTGGCCCTCTTGGGCGCCTCTTCGGCCGCCAGTGGGCCCGGTTGGGCCTCCTTGGGGCCCTCTTACGGGCCCGTTCTGCCGTCGTTGGGCGGTCTTGGGGGCTTTGGAGGACGTGTTGGACACTGCGAAGGCTAAAACATTTAGTTGCAAACGAGTATACGTTTCCCCCCGGGGGTGGAACGATGTCTGCCTCTTTGCGCCCACTTGGGATTGATAGTGGAAGCCTCTTGGGGCGTCTTGGGCGCGATTGCCTTCTTGCCCCTGTTGGGGCCTTCTTGGGCCCGAACAGGGCACGCGACAAAACGCACCGCGGCCGAGGGTGCACGCGGCAACCGATAATCCCAACGGGATTTGTGAATTCGGGTTCCGGGCAGCGTAAGTATCTCCAGGATTGAGAATTGGTTCGGGGGATTGGGCAAGGACGCTGGAACACTCCAACTTCAAGCTCCAGGGTGCGGTTGCGGATTTAAACCTCTGTATCTCTCTCTCTCACTCTCTCTCTCTCTTTTGGTATCTATTTCGCTATGTATGCACATACATACATACATATATATATATATATACACACATAGTCTCGCTCTTTCGTTGCCTCTCTGTAGATGTATCTTTGCATTTGTGTTATATGTCTACATACAAACGTATGTGTAGATGTGCAGGTGTATGTGTATCCTCATGTGTATGTGTATGTGTATGTGTATGTGTATGTGTATGTGTATGTGTATGCGTATGTGTATGTGTACGTGTATGTGTATGTGCATGTGATATATATATATATAAATATGTATATACGTGTGCGTGTGCTTGTGATGATTGTTTATGCTTCGGCGTTTTTCCCTTGCATAGCTTGTTTGGCCGCTCTTTGTCTTCCTTAATTCCTTGACTTAGGGACGCCAGCCATACACCACCACATTGTCCATGCCATTCCTGGGCCCCAGAAAGGCCTAGCCAGGAGCAGTGCTGATGAAATGCTGGGGCCGTCCAACAATTTGCACTGGGCCAGCTTTGGCGCGAGGTGCAGGACAGTTTGGGAGACGTGAAGCAGTCGCTGGAGCAGGCGCTGACGAGCAGACGCGGCGTGCGAGGTGCGCCGCCCGCCTGGCGACTCCGTGGCCTGCCCGACTTTGCTGCTGATGTTGGGGAAGGTGCTCTCTCCTCCCTCCCTGCTCATCCTCCTGCTCATCCGCCCTCGCCCAGAGTACACTAGCTCTCCTTTCTGATTGCGCATGACACGATGGGGTCATATTGGGGATCCAAGGTCGTCTAGGGCACCCCAGCCAGAGGATGAAAACGCATACGGTACAGTTGGAAGGTAGGCGTGGGAAGGCGTGGATATCATGTGGTGTGAGCGCACCTCGCTTGCCCCTGTCTCGCTCTCTCTCTCTCTCTGTCACTCTCTAGAACTACACAATCTGAGTACTGCTCTCTCTCTCTCTCTTTCCCCCAAAGACGCTGGTGGGGTGTCCTGGCCTCCTCCGCGTATTGTTTTTTTACACAGGATGCCGCCGAATTGATAATTCGTATGTGTTTCCCATTCCCTGTCCTTCCAAATCATGTTCCCGCTGTAGCGCTGACCTCATTTCATTGTTTCGGTTCTTCCAAATCGTGCTCCTGCTGCAGCGTTGGCTTCGTGTCCGCGCTTCCCATCCTTCCAAATCGTGCTCCCTCTTCAGTGTTGGTCTCATTTCCGTTTTTGGTCCTTCGAGATCGCGTTCCCGCTGCAGCGTTGATCTCCTTTTGCGCTGCTTACTTTCCAAACCGTCCATTTGCATTTCCCGTGCTGTGCCATTTCTGGTTTCTCTCTGACCTTGTTGTCGAAGTGAGTCTCGTTCTCGACGCGATGCCATGCTATGCCGTGCTGTTCCACGTATCGCGCACTCTCTCAGGATCGTTGCCCTGTTCGACATCCGACGGTGCGAATAGAGAGGATATCTGCGCAACGGTAAGAGATGGGAGGGAGGGGCAGGACGTCAGATATGACGCTTGCGCACTTAGCTCGCCTCCTCCCTTTCTCTCCTCCCTCCGTCCGCCCCCCCTCTCCTCTGTGGCCATCTTGGGCGACGGCTCGCCCAGAGGGGACCCGCAGCCGTCGACCACCTCTGCCCGCGCCCGCGCCCGGCACGCCATCCGGGCCAGCCTCGCGTGCGGGCGTCGATTTTCTGGCTGTCCTCCCGCGCTCCGCGGTGTGGGAGTTTCGGGGGCCCCCAAACGGGGTGGTGACCTTACCGTGCGGTGAGTCGGTGGGGATTCGGGGTCACCGCACGGTTTTGGGACTCGGGTCGTTCTTCGAGGACGTCTCGGGCGACTGGGGCATCCGAGGTCCCAAAACCGTGTGTTGACGGACCGTGCGGTGAGGTCTTGGGGGATTTGGAGGTCATCCGCACGGTCAGTCGGAGGGCATCGCCTCCGGTGCAGAACACACGTCGTTGTGCAGTCATGCTTCCAGCAGGACACCTGCCTCGCGGACGGAGCTGCCGCCGCTGGCGGCTGTAAGCCTTCGCTCCTCGGTCCACCCCTCCGCGGGGCACCCTTCGTGCCCCGCGGAGGGGCGCAGCGTGAATGTTAGTTCAGAGTCGCGCGCTCGACTATCATCCGCAGACGTTCAGGATGATGGCCCTCTCCGCCGCCGGTTCCTGCGACGGCGGCTCCCGTGGCACACCCTGCACCATCGGCAGCTGCGGCACCTCCTCCGCTTGCCCACGCGGGCCCTCTGGGTCGCTCCCTGCCTGCTCTGCCGTCCGGGCGCGCCGCAGAGCCCGCTCTTGCTCACACTCCTTGATCCGAGCTGTCTCGGCCGTCTTCCCCGGACGGTCATGATGTTTTTGCGCGTGTCTCGAGGCCCAGCGCTGGGATTGCGCAGGCTGCCGAAGCTCGTTCTCGGTCTGCTCAGCCCAGGCGCAGGCGATCGTCACCGCCAGCTGCTGGAAGGGACTCTCCGCCTGCTTCTAGGGGACGCCCCCCACGGTTGCATTCGATCGCATGCGCACCACTAGGAGGCAGAGCTCGGGCGCATTGCACCGCCTTTCTTGGCCACGGTTGCTAGACGCTCCGTGGTTGTATCCTTACTTGTCAGGGAGAAGAGGGGAATTATCTTGGCGAAGCGCTCAAGTATAGGCAGTTGTGAGTATTGCCGTTGTGGGTATCGCCTTCGTTGGATCTCCTGATGGGGCCACGAAGCGTATAAAGGGTGTGCCGAATGGGGGCGGGACGCATGCGGGCGCGGCCATTGGGGCTTTCGGTGGTGAACCATACGGAGCCACGAAACGTATCAGGGGTGTGCCAAAATGAAGCGGGGCCGCCACACGAACGTCGCCAAGGGGGCCTTCGGTGGAGCCCCGTATGGGGCCACAAGGAGCGTGAGGGGAGTGCCGAAATTGGCGGGTGTGACGCATGTAGTCACAGCCCCTGGGGCCTTCGGTGGAGCTTCCCATGGGGCCGCGAAACGCCGTACTGGGTGGCGCGGGACGCATGTGGTCACAACCACTGTGTCCTTCGGTGGAGCTCCTTGTGGGGCCATGAAGCGCCGTACTGGGTGGTGTTTCGACGCATTTAGTCACAACCATTGAGACCTTCGATGGAGCTCCCCAAGAGGCCACGATGCACCGTACTGGGCGGCGCGGGACGCATGTGGTTACAGCCAAATGGGGCCGTCCGTGGAGCTTCTTGTGGTGCCACGAAGCGCCGTACTGGGTGGCGCGGGGCGCATGTGGTTACAGCCACTGGGGCCTTCGGTGTAGCTCCCCATGAGGCCACGAAGCGCTGTACTGGGCGGCGCGGGGCGCATGTGCTTACATCCGCTGGGGTCGTCGTTGGAGCTCCTTGTGGAACCACGAAGTGACGTATCGGGTGGTGCGGGACGCTTGTGGTCGCAGCCATTGGGGCCTTCGGAGGAGCTCCTTACGAGGCCACGAAACGCCGTACTGGGTGGCGCGGGACGACTGTGGTCACAGCCATTGGGGCCTTCGGTGGAGCTCCCTCTGATGCCACGACACGCCGTATTGGGTGGCGCGGGATGCATGCGGTCACGGCCACTGGGGCTTTCGTTGGAGCTCTCTATGGGGCCACAACGCGCCGTACTGTGCGGCGCGGGACGCATGCGGTCACAGCTACTGGGGCCTTCGGTGGAGCTCCCTGTGGGGCAGACGCTGCACTGGGTGGCGCCGGACGCATGTGGTCACAGCCACTGAGGCCTTCGGTGGAGCGCCCTACAAGGCCACGAAGCGCCGCACTGGGTGGCGCGCGCATGTGGTCACAGCCAAATGTGGCCTTCGGTGGAGCTCCCCATGGGGCCACGAAGCGCCGTACTGGGTAGCGCGGGGCGCATGTGGTTACAGCCACTGGGGCCTTCGGTGGAGCTCCCCATGGGCCCACGAAGCGCAGTGTTGGTTGGCGCGGGGCGCATGTGGTTACAGCCACTGGGGCCTTCGGTGTAGCTCCCCATGAGGCCACGACGCGTCGCACTGGGTGGTGCGGGACGCATGTGGTCACAGCCACTGGCGCCTTCGGTGGAGCTCCCGAACCACTTGGTGGCGCGGGCTGACGCCTTCGGGGGAGTTTCCTGTGGGGCCACGAAGCGCCGTACTGGGTGGCGCGGGACGCATGTGGTCACAGCCAAATGGGGCCTTCGGTGGAGCTTAACATATGGGGCCACGGAGCGCCGCACTGGGTGGCGCTGGTCGCGTGTTGTCACAGGCACTGGGGCCTTCAGTGGAGCTCCCTCTGGGGCTACGGAACGCCGTACTTGGTGGCGCGGGATGGGGCTTTGGGTGGAGCTCCTTGTGGGGCCACGAAGCGCCTTATTGGGTGGCGAGGGTCGCATGTGGCCACAGCCCATGGGGCCTTCGGTGGAGCTCCATATGGGGTCGAAGCGCCGTACTGGGTCGCGCGGGGCGCATGTGGTCACAGCCAAGGGGTCTTCGGTGTGGCTTCCCATGGGGCCAAGAAGCGCAGTATTTGGTGGCGCGGGTCGCATGTGGTCACAGCCACTGGCGCCGTCGGTGGAGCTTCCCATATGGGGCCACGAAGCGCCGCACTGGGTGGCGCGGGTCGCATGTGGTCACAGCCACTGGGATTTTTGGTGGAGTTCCCGTATGGGTCTGGGAAGCGTTGTGCCTGGTGCGCTGAAATGGTGGACATTCAGATGGCAGATGCAGGGATGGGAGGAGGGTGGAGGGAGGAGGAAGAGGAGGAGGAGGAGGCGGAGGAGGAAGATTTGCATCTGCGTACTCCCTGGTGGGCGGTGAGGCCCCCAGGGGGACTGAAGAGGAGATCAAGCAATCTGACCCCGAGGTGGACTCGCAATCTTCCTCTTCAACTGCCTCGTGCCTTTGCACACCTCCACTCTCCATGGGACCCGAACCTCCTCGAAACGAGGCACGGTCCCTGCCAGAGAGGGTTGGTGGGGTCGAAGCCTCTTCCCCCCGACATGCCGACCTCGACGACACTCCGCCTCCTCCAATAGTCCAGGGCGTTGGGGACGCGGCTGTCCCTAAACGAAGCGCGGCTGCCGCATCCCGCAGCGCCTTCTCTGGACAAGGATCCTGCACCGCACGGGCTTCACAACTCGCTCCAGGGTCCAGGCCAGGCGCCAGAACTAAGACCACAGTCCACAGCATGGAGCGACTCGATCCTAGGGCGGCGGCCTTTCAGACTGGTGTTGCTCACAGTCTTACCATTACGACTGGGAGAGCAGACCGAGACAGCACTGCTTTTAGCCATCGCTCCTTGGTGAACGAAGGCTCCACACTTGAGGAGGGGGAAGAGGAAGAGGAGGAGGAGGAGGAGGAGGAGGAGGAGGAGGAGGAGGAGGAGGATGGGCGAGGAGGAGGAGGAGGGGGAGGACCAGTGTAAACCCGAAAGTCAGCACCGATGATGGAATACACCCTCCCTTCAAGCTCCCTCTTCATAGGCCTCTACAGCCGCTCATTTCCATTGAGGGAACTGCCTCATTGGAAGACAACCGTTTGAAGACCCTCAAGCATTCCAAACCATGGTTCTCTGGATTCCAACGCCACGGATAAACTTGACTTTTGCGTGTTGACGATCACGAATCGTGCCAGAACGCCACCCCTGGGAATTCAACACA